TTCTGGTTTGTCAGTGTTTTTCAGTCCACTGTGACGCTGCTTTTCCCCCTTTGTTTTATCTCATAAGAACCCATATTTTTTTTATATGGATGGACTGTGCATGCAACTGATTGGCTAATCCACATCAGTCAATCAATCAGTCAGTCAAGCCAGTTTGAACTCTGAGGTGTCATTTACTGCTCAAAAATATCTTAAATAACATTAATTCTTACAGTGAGTGGGGCGGCCTCTCCACAAATCTAACCTGTAATTTGCCTTCAATCTTGTAAATAGAGATTCTTAAGTTTATTGCCATACTGTGGAACATTCTGGGCACATCTCCATGGAGACAAGCAGATGACAGACCCTCCACCACACAAAACATTACACTATGCACCTTTAACAAAAGATCTAAATCAAAAAACACAAGTCATAAAGGCCTACAAACAGAAATGAGTGACAACTAAAAAGTGTCCCATAAAGGCATAATGTCCGGCGAAGTGTGTGACAAACAACTAGAGACACATGGGTGCAGGCTTACTTAAAATTGATTTAAAAATATTTCCAGTGCCATATCAAGATCCTCCTCAAGTAACATATCATCCCAGTTTATTTTCTGAATACCACTGATAAATACTTCAGTAGAGGAATGTTTAAATCATTTTCTGTGTATAATTCTAGGGTGTGCTTTGGGTGCAATCAAATCCTGTGGGTATATATGCAGGTTTGGTGTAAAGACTGGGCAGGCTGAAGTATCACCATCCACCACCCATGTAATCTGTGACCAGTCTAGTAGGTTCTGTCACCATTTGTTTCAGATTACATATGTTGGTAATTGTAATCAACATGTTTTGTTTAGCCAGTCAATATTTAGATCCCCTACAGACACACTTTCCAGTTTTCACATACATTTTTACATACTTTGTCTAGCATTATACCAATATTGTCTAAGTAGCCAATAGCCATAGTTTGAATTTGAGGGCCTGTAGCAGCATCCCACTAAGAATTAAGAACTAAGAGGTTTTGTGTGAGGGGTGTTGATTTGAAGACATATAACGTCTATTTCATTAGACATCAGATTTGGTCTTAAATTCATTGGCATATTGTTTGGACATAAACAGCCACACCTCCACCGTTTATCTGTCCTTTCTGTGTAAACCATAGTCCTCAATATTTAGCACTTAATTATAAATGTCATTGTCTAAATGGGTTTCAGATAATGCACAAATACCAATTTCATTTAAGTGCAACAGGTCTTCAATTTCGTGCACCTTCTTAGTTAAATCGCATATATTGAGGTGTACAAACTTAAACTTATTTTTAGGAAATAAATATAGACATTAGTAGAGATGAAGAGAATAGAGATAGAGAGACATTAGTTATGTCATAAAAACAAATAAAAAAACACTTCTATTGGGATGTCCGTTCATTTTGTTTATCATGTCTCAAGCATGTCCCCCTGTTGTCTTGCCTCTGTGAGCTTTGGAATTAACTCCCTCCTCTTCTGACGCACTCCAGGGATTCCAGAGAGTCCTCATTGATAAAATAGTTAGAGACAGTGTTCTGCACAACAAAGGATCTATCTTTTATTCTGAGGAACTTAACAAGTAGCAACCAAGGACGGAATTTCCCCTCTGAAGTTTTAAGTGCATCTGTTTTGGCATCAGTGATAATTATTGACGCAGTTTATGAATGTCCACTTCATTAGATTTTTGCACTGTTGACACTTTTGTGCTTGTTATTTTTAGCTCGCAACTAGTTTTTGTGTAAACTGTAGGCTGAATTTAAGTTTGTTTAATTCAGTAAACAAGCTGTCCACTTTGCTTCACTCAGAGTCCATAAACACATACACGCATCTCTCCTCCTTATTAAACTTTCACACAAACAAAACAAAACTTTCTCGAATATTAAATCAGGCCAAAAATAACCCCAATCCCCAAAACCCCAAGTGTGATCTGTACAAGGGCCTAGAGCTGAGAAGAGCCACTCTCTTCACTGAGCCAAACAATAAGAATCCCACTGGTCATCTACAACTACAAGAAATCATTCATTCCCAGTGTAGAAATAGGAAAAAGTGCAATGTAGCACTATTACATATATTTGTTTTCATATTATTGTACTACTGTAAATGTAAGTGACTGCCACAGTGAATGACAAAGCCATGATTAAGGTACATTTCTGTCTTAACTGGGAGCAGAAAAATAAAGTTTCTATTTGATTATACCAGTATCAGTGGGGGAGATTTATCAGACAGTAATCAACTGAAATACATATTAATTGTTAGAAACAGGAAAGAAACTGCGAACAACTACAGGAACAAATTGGCATGACTAGATGAGTGGCTCAGAGCATTTCAGTGCAACATTTGTCTGTAGTGTTCGAAAGTGGGATGGCACCTGCTCAGCAGGCAGACTAATTATCTCATCCATAGGGTTCAGAACAATGAAAAATTAGGACCGTTGCCATAGCAATTAAAATTTCCTATAAGAGGAAACCCATGATGGGTGCCTTTTTATCATTTGTCTGACAGCTACCTTAAGATATAATATCAAATATTAAACCCATGTGCATATTTGATCAAAACTAAACCAAAAGTCAGACTCAGACTCACATCTTCATCTCTAAAGTTCTAGTATAGTATAGGGAATGTATTTCCTGAATCCCAATCTACAATGGCACTGAAAAAGTGTTGACAATGTGTGTGTTATGTCCCCTATAACCAACAAGGGACACAACGTGTATAAAACAAACCCTTGAGGCAAAGTCGGTTTGGCAAACTTTTTATTTGACAGCCAAACATTCATTAAAGTGCACAAAAAATGAACAAAATGTTGGTGGGAGGAGGCGTGGGCCAGTTGTGCCAAATCAACAAACAAAAAGGTATACCAAAACAGGCCCTAACTGAAAACTAGGCTACAAAAAGGAAAGAAATCAAAAGCCTAGCCTACCTGGTCTAAAAAAGAGAATTTGGAAATCTCAAAACAACAAAGGTGGCAACAACTGATAACTAGTGTGTCTAACAACAAAAATCTACATGGTGTGAAATGTACAGGGATCCCCGAACTTACCTAACCAATCCTCCCAACCAAACAAACCTGGGCTAGCAGCCATATACACGGAGGGAGAGGGACGGAGAGAGAGGGAGAGAGAGAGAGAGAGAGAGGCCGCACACAGCTCCTTTTAAACAGCCCTCTCCACTCTGATTGGCAGCTAGCTGGCCAATCAGCTCCAGTTCTGGTCACACCCACTGAACACACAGGGCAGAGGAGAGAGCAGTACAAAAACAAAACAAATGCCTGCATGTAACAGTGTGCCAATGTTTGAACAGTGTCTAATGCACCATGAACACCATAAACACATACATGGATATCTGCACCTTGCAAAACCTCCACATAAACAAAACAAAACTGTCCCATGTATTAAATCAGGCCAGAAAATGACCCCAGTGCCCAAAACCCCGTGTGTGATCTGTACAAGAGCCTAGTGCTGAAGAGAGCAAACCCTTTTTACTGAGCCAAACAATAAAAATCCCACTGGGCTAAAAAAACATCTACAAGAAATCATTCATTCCCAGTGCAAAGAAACAGAAAATGGCACATTGTAGGACTATTGTGCTTATTTACTTTTATATTGTTAATAATGTTTATACTTAATGTATGCATTTTCTGGTGTGTTGGACTTGAATGACAAAGCTGTGATAAAGATACATTTCTGTTTTTAATAGAAGCAGACAAATTAAATGTCTACTCTATTATATTCGATCAGTGGGATGGATTTATCAGACAGCCACCAATTGACCGAACATATTACAGAAAATGAAAGTGACAAGGAACAAATTGGAAAAACTAGATGGCTGGGTCAGACCATTTCAAGTGCAACTTTTGCCTGTAGCATTAGAAAATGGTACAGCAGATACAGAGGCAGACCTAATCATCCAGTAATCCATGGGTTACTGAATGATGAAAAACTAGGACTGTTTCCATGGCAACAATTGAAACAAAATCTTTCGAATGCAAGAAAAGTCCTTAAAATGTTGAATAAATCGGGAAAGATTAGGTCAGATTGGGCAACATTATAGAGACACCCTTACCAACTCTCTTGTTTACCAGCCTGCTACTTTTGGTCTCTTTGTCTAGGAGCAAATAATGCACGCTTTCCATTTTCTCAGGCTTATTTATTCCCTGTAGGTCGCAGCCTCTTCTTTAAGTAATCCATCTTGTACATGAGCGTAAAATTACCATTGGCCATACTTTCTTAGTGTATATACAGAGCTTGTGAGACACAGGTAAAAGCACTCTAGCAGAGATGTTGTCCAATTAAGAGATTTATGGAGGTTCTGAGTCATTTGCCATGTGTAGACAGTAGACAGATATCCCTCTTGACATGAAGTAGTAGACAAATAAGGTGAGAGTGATGCTTACTCAAACTAGGGCACCAACATCCTGCAGCGTCTGGCCTTGTCATGGTTCAGCTACAACAGACAGCCCCACAGTCAATGCATTGCTTTAAAAGCTTCAGGCAAAATCTGCTTTCAATCATGAACCAATCCCAAACCCATTGACTTGAACCAGGCCCTCACAGACACACAAACATCGATCAGGGAATCTCCAGTGTTTACACCCCTACTACGGGCTTGAACTTTACACAAGCAAAGAAGAAATAAGAGTTTAGAAGACATTCATTGATTTCAGATCATCAATAGGAAGTATGGCTCTTATGAAAAAGGTTTTATAAAGTAAAGTACAATCAGATAAGGACAAATGGGGAAAATAGTGTTTTTCTCCTATATTTTTGAACACATGAAGCTTAGTGCTACAAGATAGTGAAGTAGTTTAGGCTGTAACACATTTGCCAGCCTATGGGCTGCCGTCAGTGAATAACATTCCCAGCTGTGGAAATTTACTGAACATCTCTCTCACTCTTCACCCATTTCACGCTCCTGTCTAATAAAGCCCAGCCCAATGAAGACTAGTTCAGAATATACATGCCCCAGGCCCAAAGACCATTCACTCACATAATGATAACTTCTTAAAATATATTTATTCAAAGAGAAAATGAAATAACTTTAACTAACATTATCTAAAATAACAATAATTTAGACAAACAGTTATACATCATTAAATTGTAAGACAAAAGGAAATGTTTTTCAGGAAAGTATTTCGGCTTAATTAAAAACATGCATTGACAGTAGTTCAAACATAAGACCATTTTGAGAAGTACTTCTCAAGGCAAAAAAATACTGAGATAAGCAGCTTGTATTGCATTATTTTGAATAAACTAAATAAATTTACAACTTCAATAGAAGCCTCTAAAACAAGATAGGTGTGCAAATATCCAAACTTTGACAGTGCCAGGTGAAGCCTCATGCTTTGGTGAGCACTGATTATGTCTTTCTTTCAGTCTTTAGTCGAGGTTTACGGAGACGTTTTCCCATTTTGGACAGTGTAGTTTCCACAGTCCTGTAAAAAACATTAGAAGAGGTGACATTTAGATTTATAGTTAATGTTACAGTATAGAAATGCCCCTTTACTTACATTATTTATGGAGCCAAATTAAATCAGTATTACACATTCTTATCCTTAGTAAAATTACATTTTAAGAATTAATGTGAACTTTGCTTATCGATAAAGTCCTTCTAAGGTTGGACATCATTAGCCCAATCTATAAATGTGTGATTTAAGAATTATATTGATAATATATATTACTTATTGGTATATATTTAGTGCACTGACTATTTACTAGTCCAATAAAATAAAAGGCAGAAAAGGTAGGTATGTGATAACAGTGGGACTGACAGAGTGTGGCTTGAAGCCAGGAGAATATCTAGGACCTACTGTTCAAGTCTGCATTTGTAAAACTGTCAACTGGAACCTCTTTTTGTGATAAGGTCAAAGCTAAAATCTGGAACGGTGAGATACCAAACCCCCCAAAAACATCACGTCAGAGGCACACAGAGCACACAGACTACAGTACACTCTTACTTTGATCTAATTACCTCCGCCAAGGAGGTTATGTTTTTGCTGGCGTTTGTCTGTTTGTTTGTTTGTTTGTTTGTCTGTTAGCAACATAACTCAAAAAGTTATAGACCGATTTTGATGAAATTTTCAGGATTTGTTGGAAATGTGAAAAGGAAGAACTGATTTCATTTTGGGGGTGATCCGGAAGAAATCCTGGATTCTGGATCACTTTGAAATTTTAGTTAACATTGTGGTAAATGGGGCCAAAAATGTTGTTTCTCAATATCTCGGTTAATTATTGACCAAACCCCATGAAATTTGACTCAGGGATGGACAATGGGATCCTCTTTCATATTCCAAAGGCTGATCCGGATCTGATCCAGAAGACTGATTTTATCGCAATTTATATAAAAAAATGGGAGTAGTCCTTGGCGGAGGTCTGCGCTCTCTGAGTGCTTTTCTAGTTTCTTTGCTGTTTTAGTTGTTGATTATGTTTTGATTTTTCTCATGACATGACTACAAAGTCCACAACCTAAAGAATTTACGAGTCACAAACTAATTAAAAAGCATCTGTAAACAAAGCTCCTCATTATAGTGGTTTATCTCATTTACGCTCATCTCATATTCTCCTAAAACTACACAACTGCCAATGTGAAGTTTGAAATGACAGAATTCTTTCTGGCTAGTAGCTTAAACAATAATAGCTAATCAGTGAACTTTTCCTTATTAGCATTTGTTCCCTTGACCAAATGCACAGAGCAGAGAGGGAGGGTGAACTGTGCAGGCAGGCCAACATGAAGGCATCCACACTTATTATTCACTGGAGGAGAAACGGTTTGGGCTGCTATCTCAAACAACAGGCTGTCTAATGGACCGGAAATAAATGCACTGAATTAACAGTGGCTTCAGCATTCACAGGGTTTTGCTGCTGAATGAAAAAGGATGCAAATACCCAATTTTTCATATTGTTTATAAATCAGTGTTTGGGACAGTATTGAAGTCAACTTCAAGTGAAAATGAACACAACCTTCTGAAAATTTTACCAAGGAAAAATAAAAAAAAAGGTTATGCCATGGCTAAAACTGCCATTTTGTTTTTTATTGCCAATTCATGCATTCTGACTTGCTTGCCTCTTCGCAGACTTGGAACTTGGCCCAGTGGAATCACCTGCTTGTCTCCATGGAGCTAGGTACATTTATTGCCATACTGTTAAATATTCCAAGCAAAATAACATCTCCGCGGAGAAAAGCAGGTGTTGGTTAGTTACATAGTGCACCTTTTACATGGAAATAGAAGAGCAGTGATAGAAGCAGATAAATAGATTCTGGAAGACTAACAAGACAAACATCAGATATCAAGTGAAATAAAGGGTCTTTAATGCCTTTAATGCTCACAGCAGCATCAAGTCACAAAGCCATTCCAGTGTCACCCTTGACTTAAAAGTGGTGGACTCTCAATAAAAGATCCTCTCTAAAGGACAAAGCAGAGTGGGGCTCTTAGACCGCCGTGCTGTACATGTGGAGGCTGTTAAGAGCCAGATCAAGTGTTTCAGTAGATAATTATTGTACATCACGCTGTAGGCGGTGACAGGGGCTGGCATCTCTATGAACCACACAGGGCTAAAGGGACACTATCAGAGGAATTTTGCCAGACTTTCTCAATGAGTAAATGTCCGACTATTCCTCTATTAAAATGTATGACCAGAGTCCAGCCCGGTCTTGGACAAAGTTTGATAGACAGGGTTTAAATTAACCTTGATTGAGTTTAGATTTTTCTTTCATATTGGTTAAAAGCACATTCCCTTCTCTCCATCGAGTTAATGAGTCTTTTCAAGGACAAATGTGAAACTACAGCATACTAAAAAGGTGCCAACCAAAAATAGGTGGGGGCTGAGAGTCCACTTCACCTGAAGGTCAACCAGGAGGAGATGAGGAGCAGATCCTTGGCTGTCCACAACAGGTGCTGGCTTCACTATCTGAAGTCATTTTCAACTGTAAAGCAAAGGCTTCCCACTATGAAATACATTTATGAAAGTGCCAGGCTTTGATAACGCTTTTATCTGCACTTTTTCACCCAGTATGGCTGCTCCATCTTTCATGGAAGTTTTTTAGGGACAGTGAGCGATTATCTGAGAAGGCAGACGAGCCGTGTGCGGGCATGACTGTGATTCACAGGTTATTTAATGAGGCCATCTGCTTCCATTAGCAGAGAAAATATGACATGAAAATGCAGTTGTGGCATGCCATGTCTGGAAATATACGATTACAGACCAGAAGCAGACTGATGGACAGTTATCACCAAAATTATTACACAATGAACATTTGAACTGAGGTTGCCACTATAAAGAAACAGCATCTCTCTGTTTTAAACAAATCAATGGACCTGTGTCAATTATTAACCTGTTTTAGATCAATATTGTGGCTGAGTATGTTATAGTTTAATACTAACAAGCCATAATATTCCTTCATTAAATATCACAGATTACTAACATCAAATATTCTACAGTTAATATTTTCAGCTACAACAACAAAATGAAGTTCAATTTGAAAAGATAAAAGGCTCTCATGCTAATGTTATTTGAATTGAACTATTTCTCAGCCAGTATTGAACCAGTATTGAACAACAGAGTGGAGAAATAGAATGAAAGCATTTTCCCAAAAATACTTAAACTTCCGCAATAAAATAGGAATAGGTCAGCAAGTTGGACCATGTTCCTGATGCCCTTTACACAGTGCGTATTATTGCACATATTTTAACTGCTAAGACAATGTTTTGCCTTGACTGTACAAATGACACCAAAAACCACAGGGTTATTAAAGCTTATATAAGTTAGACTGCTTATGTAAACTCTGCGATGTGTGCTTATCTAGGTTTAAACTATTCTATTGGAAATACTCACTGACCCAAAGACCATTCTCCTGCCAGCTATAGATAGTATCGTCAAATATATCAATATGGAACGGCAAGTATCTGAAGGTGACAAAGTAAATACATTCATCATTGCAGCAGCAGAATAACTCACTCAGATTTCTGTGGCAGCTCTGGACCAAAGATGTCGGAGATGGAACTGCAAAAGAGGAAACCAGGAACACAATCAAAATTCACAGAGATTTTGAATTTTCAGTACTTGGTAATGACTGCAATCGCAGGTGTCGCTGTGCAAGGTTGCTAACCATGAAAATCAAAGGCCGAAAGAGAGCAATAAGATATGACCACCTGTCTGTTTGCTGTGGACATATGGTAACCCCAAGACACTCACCCGACTGTGTATAACCTGCAAGCAGCTCAGTACTAGACTATAGACAGCCCAACAACTGCAGTTTTAGGATGTGTTAACTTTTGAGCATTATTTATTCCAGATATAGTAGATTTGGTTTGGTCCAGGTCTAGTCCGAAATTTGGTGTGATACGTATGAAAGTAAACATACCAAAGAGACACTTAAATACAGTTAGCTAATTCAGTGTGTCCAGCCTTTTGTCTCAAGTACCCCTTAAACTTTGTCTCACACTTCAAGTATCCACTGATCCACTTGCATAATGAAGATTCGGTAGTAAGTAGGCATTTTAATTACAAGCACAGTGACAATTATTAATATTATGTATTCTTGTTTGAATGAAATGTGAAACCATGCTCTCTAAAAACATTTTCGAAAGCTATTAAATTTCACCTTTTCAATCTGTTCCCCTGCAGTGTGCCAGTTGTCCTTATCAAACAGGCTCAAATATTTCTGCTTGTTCAGTAGCTGCCCATTCATAAACAGATACCATGAGAGATAACACATTTTTTAGTACTTGCTGGACATAATAATGTTACACCTGATCAGTTACAGAGCCCACTCATTTGGTCCTCAAGGCACACCACTAACCTTGGAAATCAGCAATACAGGATAAAGAATCAGATATTTTAGGGAAGCAAAAATCTTAAAAATATCATTTCTAGGGATGATTTTACGCTTGAGGCTACAGTTGCATGTGCAGACGCAATCACTTGAAAAATAGATGAGAAACACAGTATCTTTTATGTCCTTTTGCAGATGGGAAGTTGCTATAAGGGTAAGTTTTTCAACCCTTCACCCAAGTCACCTACGCAGTTCTACACTCCACACACACAGAATATATTTTTATTATCAGTGCATATACGGCCAGTCTAAAACATTAATTTCCATATTCCTGAAGTGCTTTACAGTATAATCGACCATGACACACATATATAGAGGAGTCAGAGCTACCACGAACAAAAGACACGGTACCGGGGAAGAAGTACTCTCATTTGCATTTTTGCAGCGGTCAAATCAGTCGCCCACATGTTTTGAGAGCACGGTTTGATGTTTATGGTAATAGGAAGATCAACATGGGCAAAGGCACTCTAGGTGAGATATCGCTGTCAGTGTTTCCCATTATTGTTTTACCCCCATGGTCAAAGGAATGCTGAACAAAATGCCAGGTAATTTTGTTTTCCTTTCTTTTTATCTCAGCCTGTAGAAGGTTAAGGAGATAAAGACTCAATTAAACACAGATTAGAAATTATAACCATAGAGACAATGATGAAGAGCTTGTAAAAGAGAAAAGAATTAGCATGAATGAACAATTGTTAATACCAGAATTCTCATTCTCTGTACTAGGAGTATTACATTTTTCCACAATTAGAAGCAAGGGGAAAAACAGCCATTTTCCAAATGGCTCACTGTCCACATGGGATTGACATTTACTCTGAACTTCTCCAGCTCTTCACGCAGCAGGTACCTGAGTGCCTGGGGACAGCTACTTTCTTAATTACAAGATGAGGCCTCAGGAAATGGACAGGAAATGGACTTGTATTTAATTTCCCCCAGACCAAAACACAAGGATTGAAAGTCTCATGCAGGTTACATCTAAAAACCTCAAATGCTTCATCTCCATGGAGATGCTATTGCTTTGTCTGGAATTTTTCACAGTATGGCATTAAACCTTTCTATCATCCTGGAAATTAAACCAGGCAAAGTTACAGTTCAGATCTGTGGAGTGGCAACCCTGCTCACAGTCAGAATGCCTTTTTTTTTTTTTAAAGGTATTTCTGAGCAATAAAAATATCTGCAATAGAAAAAAATGTAATGCAGATCTGTTTAATGTCATACTCTGGAACATTCCAAGAAGAGAAATGACATTTCCATAGAAACAAGAAGGTGACAGACCCACTACCAAAAAGTTACATAGTGGACCTTGAAGTATAGATTTGTATTCCCACCTGCTGATGGACACTTCGCTGCTCGTGGGACTTGATGACAAGAGATCTCTTGAACACAGCTCCTCATCAGAAGTATTGTCTCTTAAGTCGATTACATTGCTCTTTGAGGCTATAATGTGTCAACAAGAGGCACAAAACATCAGAGAGGGGAAATCAATGAGGACTTTTGGTTTATCTTAACACAGCACTATGATCGATGAACATGCCTTTGAATAGACATAATAACAATGGCAGGTCAAATTAATAGGCAATCCCATAATATCAATGTTTATATCTACTGGCCTTGTTTCACTTCTTTGTATATTGTTCTTCAACTTACTGTAATTAATTTCAAAGTTAGAAAAAACTAAATCTCTCATTCTAAAGGGTATATTTATTTTTACCACAACTCAAGGTGATCTTGGCACAGCACATTTGCTGAAGTTTATAATCTGTGTGCAAAGTCAATGTACACAGCTGTACCTGGGGTGGGCGTGTGCACCTCCTCTCGCCCTGCGGTGACCCCTGCTGGCTTGGTGGTCTGCAGGCGTCCTCGGACCTGGGCGATGAGACGCGAGAAGTCCCTGCTGTGCTGCTTCCCTGTGGGGCAGAGCACACAGCAGCAGGCCCAGTCAATATGCAGAAACATTTAAGAGAGGGTAAAGCCATAGAAGACCTTTATAGTGGAAATAGAGCTCTTCAGAAATAATGTTAAGGTTATAAATTCATGCCTCGAGAAACACCCTGGATGGTGCTACTTCTAGAATCAGCATGCAGAATCTTTATGTAGAAAAACAGACAAGACAATAATTGAACCTTGAAATAGTTGTGTTTTTTGATTTTAGTGGTGCTCTTGACATACTTAAGTATTTATTGAAGCAGTGATTTCCTGAAACACTTGACTGAGACACAGTCTAAAATCAGTATTGCAATATTAAAGGGGTTTCTACCCAGAAATCCGTTTGATACACAAAATATAGTCTATATTTGCCATGTTTTTTTCTCAGAAGTCCCAGTCTCCTTTTTTGCACTTATTTCAATGTATCAGATGAGTCTTTAAACAGAGTAGTGACTTAAAATGGAAATAGTTGGGATTGTGTGGTTACACAAACATGCAATTAAAGATTTTATAACCTAACTGAATACATTATGTTAATATTTTTATAAAAGTGAAATTTTATTTGTGAACATAATTTTGGGCCTTGCTATAGATTGTAAAAGCATAATACCTCTATCACCACAGGAGTAAGACAAGATATTGGATATTGGTATCTGCAGAAAAAAATCGATACCAGACAATCCCTATTTTGAGTAGTGAGCCTTATTCAATAATTGGTTGAGTTATTTACTTATTTATTTCCCTTCACCTTCCTGTCTACACTCTCCATTGTCTCTGTCGGAGTGAGTCATCCACATCCCTGTCTGATAAATCAAGAGGTTATCGCAGCCTGTAGAGTCACTATTTTTAGAACTCACCTTCTCTGAGTCACAGTCATTTGTCGACCCATTGTAAAGTTAGCTCCGCAGAGTTATTTTCAACAAGCTCTTTATCTTGTTCCACCATGTCAACACATGTTCCAAAGGTGTTCTCAAATGCCATTGCTGAAGGGAAGCTACCTTGAATTGTACCTAGCATTTGTGCAACTAACATGCACTTTACGATTCCAGGTAAGGGTCAGGTTTGTGAAGATGGAAGCCCTCTCAGAGGAAGGATACATGATTTTATACACGTTTCAGTGCAATTAATACAACCAAAATTAAGAAACATGCTTTTATTTTAGTCTATTTTCACAGTCTTTAACTTCAATCAAGAATTTTACTTTATTACTTGGAGTGTCAAATCACTTTCCATTAGAATAAGTACCTTTTCTCAAGTTTTTCAATAATGTAAGGTGAAAATATACAAAATCATCACAAATATTACAATATAAGCTATTTTAATTCAAGATTGTCATTTTGTTTTTTTGAAGACTACTTACTTGTACTGAAATATTTCTGAGGCACAATACATCCAATACTAGCAATAAACAAGCTGTTGTCCAGGGCTACACAGTCATGGAGTCCTTGACAAATTATTTAGACTGAACTTGTTGGGGAGCAGAAGCAGAACTTACAATTGGGAAGGCAGCAGAACAGATTTAAGATGCAATATTTTCGCATTCTCCTGATGCAGAGGAGACACCACGTATCAGTGCTGAGGGTGTGTGACCGAGGCTATAACCTTTTCATACGGGAACACAGTGGTCCTATGGCTGTGTTTGGGTTTAGGGAGAAATCGAAAGGCTATGCTAGTCAGACTCCCATAGAGACGTGCAGCACAGCCCACCATCCTGGTTATTTGTCATTAAAGGTAATTAAGCCAAGAGTGTACAGTGACAAAACACAGCGGTGCAAGCATCATACAAAGATAATTATCAGCTTAAATAACAGGTCCCTATTGCATCTTATGAGGAAAATAAGATCATAGCTATAAGACGCAAGTTTTTCCACAGAACCATGAAGAGTGTAATAGAAATGTAATGTAGTTACTCTACAACCTTAAGCAACATTTCATATAAACCCAACCGACAGTTTGAATATTTTGGTGCAGTTTATTCAGTAATATAGTATTTTTTTAGCCACAAATTATTAGCCCCTTGAAGTGCTTGTATTTTTGGCACCAACACAAGATAATACACAAAAGGAAGACAAATGTATCCAATAGAACCATGCTAAATTGCCTATTCCAGCAATTACAAGTAGATGTAATAGTAATAGTAATAGTAATAGCAACAATTTAATAAACACTAACACGTGCATGTCTTTGGAAGGGATGGGGAAAGTCCAATTAAATAAAAAATAAGTGTAAATGAAATAGCCAAAATGTATGAATCCAATACACAAAAGTAGTAAGCTTTTTGTTGTATAAAAATAAAGATGCAAAGTACACTTCATTGTTGATATCCTTACTGGCTATAAATTAGTGATGTTGAAATAGCTCTGCCTGGTGGTCTGTGCCCTGCATTGTTTAGTATGAGTCATCACGGCAGCTTTTAGGAAGAAGTGATTAGACAATAATGAATCATTACTTACAGCACCTTGGACATATACGTCACCTGAAAGCCTGCGCTGATACAAATGTCCCTATACATGGATGGACTTATAATGGGCCATTAACCTTCAGAGTTAACGGACTTGGTATTCAGGCTATATTCACTTACATATTCACACAGAGAAAAGTTAAAATCCTGGCTTTATTTGAAGATCTCTCTGTACATATGCAGAGAAGACAAGAGCATATATTGTGTAATAAAATATCTTGTACTCCATAATAGGCTGCTTTTAATTCTAGAAGTGTTTTTCAGATGTGTGACAGACATAACTTAAAGAAGGTTTAATATTTAGTATGGTCAGTGAAAGTTGTATGAGTAAGTTGCAGGGGTAACATTTAAAAATGATGAGTCAACATAAACATGGTTACTGAAATGTAGTTCTGTTTATGATTTTAAATATCCCATAGGTTTCAGGCTATAAAAACAAAAACTAGTATCAAAACTACCCACCAAGACAAATAATTATCAATTCTGACACATATAATATAGTCTCTCATACTGAAAAACATGCGAAAAACATCAGTAAATCTTTTATGGAAACCATGGTTATCTAGTTAATTACAGAGGATTAAGGCACTTAATTAATCTGCTTACTCTACAAGCCAGCTCTCCCAATACTACTAATGTAGCTCTCAGAAGAGGACATCCATTCAATGAACAGGGCAATTACAGCAGAAAGGAGCATTAATTAGAAATACCTCCAACAATAGTGCTTTCATATTTTTAGCAAGGTTTAATAACAGTAAGGCATGACCAGTCTAAACAAACCTGTTCAAAACTGGTCTAGCGCATATTTAATTCAAGATTTAGAAACACTGTAGAGTAGAAAAGGAAATGCAAAACTTACTATAACTTGAATGCATGTCATCAATATCTTTCTCAGACAGGTCCTTGGAGAAAACCATTACCTGCAGGAAATAAGACAGACAAAAATGATAGTATGGATGATCTATAAAAATACCCTTACAGAATTGTGCTTAGTTATGTGTTCCCCTGGTGGCAAGGTAGTATTCATTCTAAATTTCTTAAGTATGTGCAACTTTCTTGTAGCATCTGTTTATAAGATCAACACCCCCACATGCTACAACAACTTTAAAGTGACTATTTTTAGACTCATCATAAAAGAAGATAATGGCACTGACAGGCTTGGCTTTCTCCTTCAGTTTAACCCGCATCTTCTCATTGGCCTCCACTTCTTTGGCAATGTCTTCCACTGTTAAAACAAGAAATGGGTGGATTTATATGGATTTATATGACTCACCAGCTGTGATGCTACAGCTGAATTCATAAAGTAAAACTATATATTTAATGTATTCTTGCTTGCTGCATATTAATAGCAGACCTATAAAACAACATATGTAGCTAATGAAAACATGTTAAAAACAATATTAAAGGTACACTATGTAACTTTTATGGTGTGGGGTAAGATGATTGTCTCCATGGGGCTTATATTATTTTTCCTATAATGTCCACATACTGTATATATAGCATTTACTACATTACTTGTATTTTAATTGCTAAAAAATTACTTGGAAAAACATAAATTCTTACTGTTAGCGAGATCACCTCTAAACAGATCTGACCTGTACCTTGACCTTATGGCATAACCTTGTCTCCAACTAAATCAATATGTTTAATGGCATATTGTGGAACATTCCAGGCAAAGGAATATCAGATCCTCCACCAAGGAAGTTACATAGTGCACCTTTAACTGACTTTTCTTTTAAATCAGATAAGACAAGACAGCTCAGCTCATGTTACTTGTTGCTGTTTCAAATACAGTATGTGAAAATAGATAAAGCCTAGTGCAGACTGTATTTACATTTCAGTCTTTGTACGTCATAGCCCCTGGTACCTGACTTAGGGTTGAGCGAGTCACACTGTGCGTTGTAGATATGGATAAACTCCTGGTGTCTCTTGATGAGCTGTTCTCGGGTCCCCTGCGCTGACAGGTGGCAGTCTTTGAGGCGCCTCTTCAGCTCCTGCATAGAGAGCAGGTTGTACACCAGTTTTGCCATTGGACGCCTTGACTTTCCAAGAGAACTGCAAATACAGAGCATGGAGGTTATTAATGTCCACATGACATCAGGTAACTTTGGATTAACACGTGTGCGGGTAACCCCAGTATACCCCCCTCCCCCGAGTATCTCAGAGATAATGACATAATTTTTCTAACAGGATTGGTAACAGATTTTGTCTCACTCATCAGCTTAATTGTTCGATGAATCTTTCCTCCTGATGCCATGTATTATGATGATGACTGATAAGTAAAGAAATTTAACAATTAATCAAAATGGAATTTCACAATTCTTATTCTTATGCAGTATTCTAATTCATTTCTGGGCACACAATTTACAATTTAGAGCATTATTCTATACAACTATAGATGAGCAAAATGTTTTGCCCACTTCACCAGGTGTCAAGAGTATAATGTAAGAGAGAACATACCTATTATTATGACTTGGTACAGTAAGTAATGTATGAAGGTACCGTATTTTCCGGGCTATTAGGCGCAGTCTTAAGCCTCCAAAAACGACTGCGCGCCTTATAATCCGGAGCGTCTTTTATATGAATTTACGCGAGTGTTCCGGTTAGGAATGGGCATGATTAATCGATTAATCGATAATTGATCATTAAGAATTTCATCGATTATGTTCATTTTAATCGACAAACCGAATGTAGGTTGCTGTGCGTAGCGTGACCAAACAGGGGTCCGTACATGTGTCTCTCTGCACTCAGAAGGAGCGAGACACAAACAGTCGGTCAGTCTGCAGCGTACCGAAGCACAAATGCGTATTTAACGATGACTTGTAAAAGAAATTCCACGCTTTTCGTTGCGTTCGGGACAAGTGGGAGTCCATGTGCACAGTGTACAAAGCAGGACCATATGTTTCGGTGTCCAGTGGGAAAAAGCTTTACCAGGTGAGAGTCGCGCAATGTCGATGACGAGGTCCCACCTCCCACCCCCCGTACGGTGTCTTGGTTTTGACAAATATGGTCACACTAACCTGCATTCCACTGAATCATGCCTTTTAATCCAACAGAAATTGACCGCATCAGCGACACAAGAGCTGTAGTTTTATCTTTACTGAGTTTATGCAAATTAGCGACGCGGTTTTAAGTTTCGTTTCTGTGAGAGTTGCGCAAAACTGAATTAAACACATTATAATGTCAAACGGATTGATGTGGCTCTAGAGTGGTTACGGTTTATATGTCGTAAAGTTGAATTTATTTATGCAGATTAGTAGTGCAGATAGTAATAATAATGATGATCATTTTAATATAAAAACGTTAATGATTAATCGATAATCGATCGTTAATTCTTCCGACGATCGATTAAGAAAATTTCATCAAATGCCCATCCCTAGTTCCAGTACAACTTCAGTAAACGACAAAGCCGCACCACTTGCAGCATTACAGCTACCGTAGTCAGGAGCATCGCGGAGTAATACGTACTGTGATTCCTCATTTTTCCTGTGGACGAGGAAAAGATGAGCGACTGGCTGCAAGAAGTTTACCTTAAGAGACCGGATGTATGGAGTAAGAAAGCTGTCAAAAATATTCGTGCGCATAAAATAGAAATCTCTGCGTATTTGGGAAATCCGTGCATATTTGGCTGTAGTTGCATAAAATAAATATTTGTAAACTCTCAAATGAGTCCAGTCGTACATAAAATATATTGTGTGTATTTTATCTATCAGAATACGAATTGAAAAATTACGACGTCATGAATTACAATCACGAAATGAAAATTTACGATTACGCTTTCATCAGTACAAATACGAATTCACAGACGGAACTTTACTGTCAAAAATACGTCATCACTTCACAGACATTATCCATCGAGCAGAAGAAACATCGATCAAGATCAAGACTGCGCATGCTCAAGTTTATACCAACAATGGCCAATACAGAGAATGTAACACACGAAGATCAGCGCAAGTACCAGTGTGCGAACATGTGGCTCCAGACTGAGTGAGTCAAAATTGGGGGTGTGTACGTCTGTTCACGACCTGCACGCACAGAGAGGTCCCGGTGTTCCCCGTGATCATGTACCAACCAGCATTTGTTATTTTAGGCTTTAATAAACCAAATAATTTTATGGCAATAGCCTATTCAATTGATACAACTTCAAAAAGTCCCTGCTTTTAGCCTAGTGTGAGAAATACAGTCGGACTAGATCCAAACCAGAGTCCGAACCAGCGGGGGCAGCTCCGGTTCAGGCCGGGCTCAGAGGAGCTGGAGCGGGGAGCCTCGACCTGAGGAAGTGCTTTCCCCGGGAAGAACCAAATGCGCAGAGGACGGACGCTCAGAACAACATATAACAAACCAAACTGGACTCATGCTTCTGTCCGGATGCTGCACCACCTCGGAACCAGCCGCAGTTCTTGAGCGCGGAGGACCAGAGCAGCCCGCACAGACCTGTAGTCCACAGCGCATTCTTGCTTTTCCCGCACGGAAACAGCGCGCAGACGATGGAACGTACCCGTTTGGACTCAGTCCATCAAGCACTGGTCTTGCTCGCCACCGTTTGGAACCAGCACATGGAGGATGGAGCCTCCGGACCATCTGACCAACGCGCTTGTAGGACGACAGAAGACCAAAGACCAGACCCCAGCCCCGTCCTGAGGAGCTGCGCGCTACAGTGAGCGCTGTTGGCTGCTGCTGTTACCCGAACTCTGGGCTGATGTGGTGAGTTTGTACAAAGTTCTACATGTTGCTGTTTTATGAGTTCATGATGATAATTTGAGATGAGGACGGCCCGTGGTCTTAACAGGAACATCGGCGTTGGTAACTGGAGGTATCGCTGTTTTCCCGGGAAACAGAGACACGTCAATCGGACCAGTTTTGGTTCGTTTGCCGGTGTGAAAGCGGACCACACTGGAGTGTATTTGCTACATAATAAGAATTTTATTGCCTGGTGCAGACCAAATAATCGAACTAGCGGTGTGAAAACGCCCTAATGTGTTATTTTTAGTTATAACCGAACAATTATGAGTTATTGTGAATACGCTGACAATTTATCAGTCTCAGACAGTTTTTTTGTTTTTTCGTGTTACAAATTAACAAAGTTGAGAGTTAACGTAACGAGTAAACGCATTAACTAAAGTTTGACTGATTTACCTAACTGTTGTGTTTCGTTTAACGCACCTTATAGTCCGGTGCGGTTTATATGTGAAAAAAGTTCGGGAAAACGACAGTGCGTCTTATAACCCAGACCGCCTAATCATCCGGAAAATACGGTATATTAAGATATGTTGGCTAAAGCTTTACCTCCTCATGAAAATTTCATGAAGAATTACAGACTAATGCAGTTTGCATACTAAAACATATGTCTGTGTCATATGCCCATTTTCACCTATATAAAATCCTCGCAACGAACAGAGGGTGATTCAGCGTAGTCGATCAGTTACAATGCTTTCAAGGAGAGTGAAGGCGTTTCTCACATGTACATCATGTCCCTTATAGAGATTTATGGGCTGAACAAACACCATTTGAAAGGCTCTTGTTCGAGTCACAATAGATGTCCATTTTACCTTCTTAAGCTCTCCTTCTTCTCTCCACTTGACAGACACATGTCCAGATGCTTGTTGATGAAATTCTGTGCCACACTTATTGAGCATACAGGACAGTCCACTTGGAAAAAAAGATAGGGAAAAGGTTAGGCTATTGAATGAAAGTTCATAACAGTGAGCTACAATAGTAAATTATAAAACCAAATTTATTTACACATACATTCATATATTGTAATGATACAATATTAATTTTATAGTTCAGAATTCAAATGCAGAATCGCTTGACATTTGCTGTGTACTATTGCCATAATATTACACCATTTGAGCCAAATTTGCTCAGAAATGCGCTTGTGCAGCCAATTATGTAAATAAATTTCAACATGATGAAGTCCATTCTAGAGCAAGGGTGCCCAAACCATGGCCCAGGGGCCAAAATGCAGCCTTCAGGCCAATTTTTGTTGACTCTGATACCTCCTACTAAATTGGCCCAAAAGATCATAGGCAGTATCTTTTTAGGTTTAAGTATTTGTACCATTACAACCTGAAAAACATCACATTACATTGTGACACAGACTTAAATGTAATGTTCAAAGCTTTTTAGTGACTCTGTCAAAGTCACTACACCATTAATAATTTTGAACACCCCTGACCAATAATGCTAGTCACAACCATTTGTGGCAATGATGATGTAGTTTATAGTTTATATTCTGTTAGAGGTCATTGTAACACTACAAAACATTACCTTTGATTACAGGTTTCACATCTTTAGGCAGAGATGAAGAATGAGCTGATTCATCTCCCATGTAAATGGATGGTAAGTGTATCTCTTCTTGTTTAACTGCTACTGGGACTGGGACAGATGGCAGCTCCACATCCATTGGCTCTTCTTTGATCAACTGACTGGCGGGACCATCTTGCTTGGATTCTATAAGAGATGCTTTGGGCTTCTTTTGGAAATACTGGCTCAAAACAGCATTGCTGCTCTTCGGGGTCTTCTCTCTGGGAGTTTTGTATCTGACAGACACAGCTGGAGTACTGGGCGTCTTCGGAGGAGACTCAAACGTGGCTTTTGACAACTGCTGCCTGGTGAAAAGAAAAGTGGTTTGTGAATAAATGGTATTCACCGACCCATTCCAATTTTTTTTTTCTTTTACACTGACACTCGTATATGGGGTGTGTTTGTCTTTTTCAGATGACACAAATACACTCAGACAGGAGTCCTAAGCTGATTAAGGACACAGGATCCTCAAAAACATTCAAAGTGAAAAGACACGTGCAGGCAATAAATACTGCAAATTGAGCCCTTTTAGTTAGGCTGCAGTTGCTCAATTATGCCATCACCTCTCTCCTGAAAAACAGACACTTTGGCAAGCATCTTGGAAAAGTGGATGGTAAACAAACAGTAACAGGGCCATTACATGGCAATAAAATGGAACCAATGAGGTGTGCAACACTCATCTTTCCATATTTAAACATTTTATTTGTGCCTACTATCCCCATTAGGAAGGCTCCTGTGCACGCTATGCACTCACTGTGACAAATGCGATGTATGGCGTCAATAGGTCTCCACCCTATTTTGACTTTAGTACCTCTGTATATTCAATAGTACAATATAAATGCTAACATTGAGAACATTATGGATTTTTGCAAATGGTTTCTAGTTTAGGAAAAAGTCAAAATAAAAAGGTAGGAAAGAGGTATTAAAAACTATCAAACAAGTATAGTAAATATCAATGTCAATTGCAGGTTTTCAGGTTGTAACTGTATTGGCTTCTTACCCTGTAAAAGTATTATAAGTTAAAGAGACAACAATGTGAGTTAAGGAGACAACATGTTGGGCTTTTAAGCCAGTTGGATGCTTGGGGCCTATACCCTCACTGTACTCACACCTATACCCTCTGTAGTGGTAATAGCAAAAGTTAAAGAGCAATCGGTAGGCAAATGGCTGTTCTGATTGGCTGTTGGCTGTGATTTGAGGTTTTTGAGCTGTGACCTGAAAATACACACCAACTCCACATGAGGAGTGCTACTTGGGCCACACCTCCCTGAACCCTGTAGAGGCAAATCAATCTTAAAATCAGGCCAAAATTCCTTAATTTTACAAAACCATCTTATAGTGTGACCTGATAGAACACATCTATCATAATACAATAGTAGAAAGAGTGCTTTAGACCACATGAAAGATATGTCAAGGCAGAGCCTGTATCATGAAGAAATCCATCAGTATTTGTGTCAAGACAAGCCTTCCAGTTCAATTCAAATGCATATTTGTTTAATCACTAGCTGTTTAGTACTTTTGATAACAACTATTTAAAGCCAGTGCAAACAAAACATCCTGGGCCAAGGAGAAATTACAATAGCTCTTACTTTGAGGGATGGGGGGCCAGTTTAGCAGGACATTACTTGTTGTTGGATATGAATGTGAAATGGGCTACTAGCATACAGCTAATAACACAGAAACACCTGAAACCTATTTAACAAATGCGGATACTGCTTTAGATGCATAGCCTTTTCAGTGCAGAGAGACAACCAAAACTATCACAATTACATACTGCAACAAGTCTATTTCTAGATGACGACGGCACTTTCTGCTTTCCTAATCATGGCATCCTATTTTTCAGACGCTCAATGCTAGACAACAGGAAATTAAAGAAGGGAGGTGCACGCTGCAACATAAGCCCCTCCAACAGTGATGACAATCGCCAAGTCCTCAGTTTCAGGACAGACCTTTTGGAACGATGATAACATTGAGCTGATTGATAAAGGGGAAGCTGTACCAGGGTTTACAGACCGATAACACAGCTCAGCAACATGTCGATATAAACAGTAATCTTAATAGCAAGAGCTATGTTGGCACAGGGATGAGTTGACAACAAGTTATAAAACTTTATCACTTGGCAGAGAACTGCAAAATCTGGGACAAATATTTAACAGTGAATTTTCAGATAAGCACTGTGATTGCAATTAGATTTGCAATAGTAGGATTCTATTCAGAGTGCACATTGTAAACAGGTCCAAGTTACTTACAATTCAATTAAGAGCTAATTATTTTACAAATGGTTAAAATTATTTTGTAGAAGGAATTACATACAAGTTTCTTACATTCTTGTCTTAAAAGGTGCATTCTGTAACTTTTCTGGTAGAGGGTCCTTCAAATACTTTTTTCCATGGAGATGTTATTGCTTGTTATAGATGTTATTGTTTAAAAGTATGGTACTGATCCTTTCTATCTTCATGGAGCCCAAACCAGACCAAGTTGCAGATTAGATCAGTGGAGACTGCAGAGGTAACCCCACACTCAGGTTCCCTATATAATATATACTAACTATAAAACCTACAATTGAATAAATGTAATATAGAGCATTCATATAGAGCATGTGGAACATTCAAGGCAAAGCAATATCCACAGAAACAAGCAGGTGACAGAAGCCAAGAGAAAAGTTACATAGTATAACTTTAAATAAAATATTTTAACTTGTAACAGGTTATCACCTCTAGTATTTTGGTATGTTTTTCTATGCCATGCAGTAAAACTAGGATAAGTAAGGTTGCTGTTGAGTGACTAAAATCCAAACAATCAGAGGCCGCTCTTTGGTTCTCCATCAGAAACTAGGCCTCCCTTTGGTGCTCCATCAAAACCTAGAGCTCCCTAATTCACATCGTCAAGGCAACACCCTCTTTTGAAAACTGCCTGGGCATCCATGTCAATCTGATCCACTTATTTTTTTTCCAATACAGAGAGAGGACTACAAACACTTTCAGTCTACAAGGGAACAGCTTGCAAACATACAAAGACAAGAGACAAATAGTGTTGAGGATTAGAATGGCTTAGTAGAGCTCAGAGCATTAAAGGATTCATTATAGCCAGATCCCGAGGGCTACTATGACCCTTCATGATGCTGAGTATATCAGTTTATTTGCATTTTGCAAAAGCTAGCATTAGCCTGTGGGGATATGCATGCACACACACACAAATTATAATTTTTCAAATAACTTCACGCTGATATAATGTTTGACATACATCATTATAATGGATTCAAGATTGCACATTCACATAGAATGCAATGATGGGAAAATTCACGTGAACAGGAAATTTCAAAATCAGTGGACATTGGTATATACATTGGCCCTCTTCATCCCGACTGATAAAAATATTAGCCCTCAGGATGCAAAGGCCCAAGATGTCATATAAGATACCTGCATGCCCGGCACTGATTAAAACAAAATCCCTATTTTATTTAAGAAAATCCTTAAAAGGAGAATACAATAAACATTAAATGGCACATGCTTCCATCTTTACCTATGTGGACAATTACTGTAAATCTCCAGAAAATGGAGGACAAAGCTTTGCCTTTAACATTCTAAGCTAATAATAACATAACCAATTGCAAAGGCAAAAAAAGGATTTTGGTTTTAAAGGCAAAGGTCACAAAGCATTATTCTTCTGAACAAAACAAAAAAGAATACTCATAATTTAAAACACTATATTTAAATACCTTGCAGCCTGAAAGTTTGAGACCAAATCATCCAATAAACGATTGTTTCTCAAATCTTGTTCTGTTGTTTCCTGAAAGATAATAATTTTTAGTGTATACAATATATTGATATGTTCGATTTCTTTATAAACTTTGACATACTCACCATGTTGCAAACTGGACATTGCAATTTGTATGAAAGAAATTTTCTGATGCACAGTGAACAAACTAAAACAAAACATACATTTAGACCATGAAGGGAAAAATAAAGTAATCAAATATTATATTCACATTACTTACAGTTGTGAGAGCATTTTGTCATCATTGTAATATTTAGAAAGTCAAAGCAGATGGGGCATTGCAAAAGAGTCTCAAGGTTCTGATAAAAAAAAATAAAAAACTAGTAAGGCAAGACCAATGCAAGGAATTTATGCAAAAGTTTGGATTAAGTTACATACATGTGGAAAATACATAATATTTCCACACTTTACATTAGGGTCTGTAAAATCTATAGTTATAATCATGGTTTATATAAACCCAGGAACTCTATATGAAACATTGTCCTGCAGAAGGACTGAAAACACACAATACAAGAAACATGATTGTGGAGTACATGTCATATTGTACTGTGACTTCAGCATGCTTTTACACACTAATAGCTGATAATGGCAATGCAGATTCCTTTTCATATTTACAAAGGTCGTGCAAAATTAATAACCTATAAATATCCTGCATATGTCACAAAACATTATTACTGTGTTGGTATTATTGTAATCACTATTGCTTGTAATCTAAAAATAACCCATGACATAAAGCAAAGGTCAGAGTTTACAACGTAAGCATGCTAGTTAGCCCATAACATAACATCTGATTATTATCGTGAGTTCCAGGATTGTCGCCAAAGTTCACATGGTCTGCACAAAATACGCATATGATAACGATTTAAAAGTCAGCTGTAAGTAACTTAGCTGACTGTGTCGTAACCATGCAAGGATCTGAATGCGTATGTTAGCATAGAAACAAAAGCATTTAGAAAAGTTATACAACTTAGCTAGATACTTACTTTGAGAGGTGCCAAGCTAGATGGCAAGTCTGTTTCTATATGAAGCGACATGCCTGATGCTTTCCAAGCAGAATAAAGTCCGATCTAACCACTTTATGGATTAAATAAAGGAATAAGAAGTTAATTTATCCCGCTAAAAGAAAACAGGAAAAGCTCTGTTCGTAGTCTTGCCGTCACTTCCGCCAAAGGTAAGAGGTTTTCTTACTTTCTTTTTTTTTTTCTCTTTTATTTATTTATTTATTTATTTTATTTATTTATTTTTTTTCATCGGTTTCGCCGTGAAAAAATATTCTACGATATATCTTAAGGACGACTGATAAGTTAAATATTTTATGTGTGTAGCGTGATGCGTTTTTTTAATGTTTTTTTTGTTTTGTTTTGTTTTGTTTTTGGGTTGTTGTTTTTTTTTGTTTTTTTTGTTTTTTTTATATATATATATACTATATTATTATTTTTTCATGTGAAGTCGAATTACTTTCTATGTTAAAATGTGTAAATGTGTAGTTGGGTCCACCGCTTACAATCCTCATATTTTCTAATTGTCTTAAAAACACTATCTCAGGGTACACGTGTTTTTTCCTCATTAAATGCAAGAGAAAGGTGTCTGGTGTCTTGTTAATTGAACTCTGCTATGAAGCTCATGTCATATTATAGGATAGATTGCACTGCTCTTAAAATGCGTAGCGTTTTCTGGCTAATATTTATAATGAACTCAAAATGCTTGCTAAGCATAGATGATTTAAACTAGCCAATGTGTTGATTTCAGCTGAACATAGGATTGACAGATATATGAAAAACTATATTCAAAGTATTGAAAATGTTGGAGATGTGCAAAACTGGAATAGTGAAAAGGCAATTTCATCATATAAAAGCAAAATATGATTGCAAAATTAGAGTAAAATAAATATTCAGTATATATATATATATATATATATATATATATATATATATATATATATATATATATATATATATATATATATATTTATATATTTATATATTTATATATTTATTTATTTATTTATTTTTATTTAAGGGTGGTTGAAGGTGCAATTGTACAGTCCTGTCCCATGTTTTGTTTTTGTATGGCACATGAAACTCAACAAAGAAATCGCTGGACAGTTAAAAAATGTGTCATTTTTATTTATTTATTCATTTATTTGATATTATTTGTCACCTTGTTATTCTACCTTTTCTTTATTTCCAACTTATTAAACAGCTCTGGTAAGTTTGTCTAAATTGGTTATGTTTGTGTGCACCAAAATGAAGCTTTGTTTTTGCTCATTGTCATTCATGTTTAGGATGCACTCCGTGAGCAGAGTGTTATGCCCCCTGGTTAACATACCAATGGATTTTGCTATAATATCAAAAAAGTTATATCTAGCATTTCGGCAAGATGGATACAATTTAGAAGTGTTTTGATAGTTGCGTTTGTAATTACTGTTTTTTTTTTTTAACATACTTATGAAAAAGCTCAATATAAAAGTCAGAATAAGATTTGAACAATAAAACATATGGCCAGTGTCTCATTTATGCCTGTTTGTGCCATACTCTTAAAGTTCACTGCTCATTTCTCATTGTATTGGAGAAAAAAGGAACACACTCTTTAGGCAGACTGTTGGTTTGGTTCCTATATCAGTATCTATGGTATAGATATTATCCAGTATACTGGTCCAGTATTTAAAATTACCAATATTTTTTCCTAAACTGCCCCACTTTCTCTGCACCCATATGTTTTTTGCAAGTTGTCCTCAGTGCATCAGATTTGTCTTCAGACCAATGAGTAAAAATATTGCCGTATGTTTAAAGTGTTGTGCAACAAATTGTTTTCTATCCAAGATCATTACATTTTGTTATTATTTTTTTTAAGTGAAAATTTTGAATTTTACTGTAACTTAACAAAATGTGTGGGCCTTGCTATGGATTTTAAGATCTTAATATATATTATCAGTCAGTAACAGCTACAGGACAAACATCGGATATTGGTTTTGGCTCAAAAAACACCTATAGTCAGAGCACACTGTAATTGATGTCATAATGTGATTTGAAATATGTGCCTTGATGTGATTCATTTCTGTAATGCTATTACACTGGTATAGCTAATGCAAGAATTGAGGTCTAGCCAAATGCTTAATTGTGCCCTAGTGTTCCTTTTTGTTAATGGTCACTAGCAGACGGTCTGATAACAAGCTATTATGTGCCAGCAAGATAACAATGTGCATTTCCGGTCTTTTTGTTTACACAGTCATTTGTGTTGTGTGGCATTTAGCTGCGTCTTTGAACCTGTTGGTCCCTTGTGTGACCACGTGTGTCTTGGACACCGCACAGAGTAAGGTCTACATGCTGAGGAAGACAATGACACAGGAAATATCAAGGTCAGTTCATGTTGGTGGGATGCTGACAGCAAGTGAACAGAGTGTACTGTGCTCAGATATTCCTCAAGGATGTGATAATGTGTCAGAAGCAGGAAAAAGTATTTAAACCAATTGGACAAAGTTAAAGCTATGATTGGTGAATCAGAGCATGTCCATAATTGTAGCTTTTTGGGGCCTCTGAATTGGCAGTGGTTAATATCAAAACTGGTTCCTGGAAGCACTGGTTGGCTTGTGTGGTTGGATCAAAACATTAAATTGAAAAAAGGCTAAAGAAACACATTCTTTTGGTCAGTTTGCTGACAGGCCGTTCAGAAGGATTTGTTTATATCTAATTCCAAGCCTTAACTTATTTAGGTTTTAGCTCCAAAATAATCCAAAATATGAATCTTTTAAACTGCCAATTTTCACTAAAACCTAGTTTACGCAAATACCAAATAAGATAAGATATCTAAAAATGCATCAATGTCCACACAATGAAACACATTTAACCCACACTCTTTTATTGTTTATGTGTTAAGTACTTTGTGCCATTTTAACACATGACTCAAATTACAATATGTATGCATAAAAACATTACATAATGAAAAATGGTCTTACATTTAGGTAGCCCAAGTAAACTGAAGAAGTTTCAAATGTATATCACTCAAAATTTAAGATTTATTAATTTTTTTTCCTATTCACCTGCTCTGTCTCGCCTTATAGGTCAACATTTCATTTTTGAGTGTTGTTTTAATATAGGCCTACTCAAATACTCACAAGTTGGTTGGAAAAAGTGAAGCATATTGAAAACATCTAAAGACTATACTCAAAAGGTCTGTGCTGAACTGACAACTGATGGCTTTCCAAACTACGAGTGTAATTTCTGGAGGTTCACTCTGGTTGTAATTATATGCCTGTTAGCAAAGTGACATGACACATTGACTGCCAGCCAGACGATCCATTACAGCGGTGTGTGAATCCTGTTAATCCCGATTTTGGAAATAAAACCTTGTCAAGTGTTTTTTTCATTGCTTTTAAATTGTGAATTAGTGTGTTCAGGGATTACCTTGAGAACATGTACATTTATTATATGTTATTCTATTCTATTTTGTATTAGTCTGGGTTCTCATTATACCTCATGAAGAACACATTAATATGCTATAAACATATAGTGCCAGACCAGTGGCATGTCAAGGTTTTTGCAGACAGAATAATTGTTTGGGAAAGAGTATGTATTGGATTGTGTAATTTAAAAAAAGATATTAGGGATTATTAGACTGAAAACCCTGAATGATCCTATTTCAAATTAATTAATTACTGACTCTTGTGATATGCAGTTAAAAATATCAACTTGAATATCCCTTTGTTGTAATGTCAAATAACACTGATAAAAACTTCACTCTTGTTATTTTAAGTGCCTGAAATCTGCAAGCATGTGTAAATGACAATAATGAAAGGGAAACACCTGGGCTTCCTACAAATCACATTTCCTCAATGTAACTTGTATGTAATATAATAAACAAAGATAAATTATGTATTCTAGCTGTGCTTTGTGAGGTTTATATTAGAAAGAAAGATCATAACTTGAAACAAATTTCCCTTATTGCATCATTTCTTTGCTTTTGCATGAGACACATCTTTCTTCTGGATTCAAATCCCTATGACGCACATGTTCTCTGCAAACAGAGTTTCATAAGGTGCAGTGTTGCACAGACATGCTCAGAAATGAATTTTAAGTTGCAAACATGATCCCAGTTGCACTAGTCCTTCAGATGTGTGGACTTTGTTTTGCTTTGTGAATATATCCAGTGAGTTCTCTTTCTTTTCTCATAGATATGGACATAATGAGGCCCGGAGCAAGCAAGCCATCCTCTGTGTGTGTCCCTGGGCTCAGAGGAGGGTCTGTCCAGCCTGTCTATGATCCTCACATTAACCACAATAGATTGGTTTTCTCCAACGTAGATTTTGACTATTGCTGAAACAGCCTTCACCTTGACCACAACAAAGCATCTGCTGCTCTGGTCATCGGTGCTTGATTTATTTTTTATGTCTTGCATTTCAGGTCCAAGGTAAGCAAAGCAAAGGCAACAAAGAGCAGACCTGTACTATAATTTTAACTGTCTGGTGGTGAATAAATTTGCACCTAACCAAAATATTCATGTTCCAGTAAAGGCTGTCACAAACATGTTGATCTGCAAATGTGCAATATTTTCAAATCAGTGACTATAATAGTAATATGTTTTGTTTATACAACACTTTATTTTTCAAATCTCATAGTAAGTAAGATCTACACATTCACACATACAAGACAGGGTTGTATACCTTTAACAACAGTAATTTTTGCTATTAATAGACTTGGACTTAAACAAACTATTTAACCACAAGGGAAATTACTTGATTCCATTTTGCACCATAGCTCACAAATGACAGTATAATAATAGCAGCAAAATGTGTCCAAAATGTAGTCAATAATGGAATTTGGATGAAGGGTTGACGGGACTTTGCCTATACCTTGGCAATGTAACATTGACTTGCTTTAACCATTTTCTTGCACCCATATCCATGGATTATCAAACATTTAAAAATGTATATCTTATAGTGCATGAACTCAACTTTGTTTTTACTTTAATAAATGACTCTCTGAAGGGCCATGATAATCTTTCAAGTGAAACTTTCATGAACAATACTGTATGCTTCATTGCGCTGTAGAATCATGCTGACACCTCATTAAATTAAAGTTTTCTGTAAAACACAAATGAAATATTTCTTAGTGTGCCCCGGGAAGGCTAAGAAAAAGGGAAAGGATCACCCCA